CAGGAAGAAATCCCTTGCCACCATCTTCCCAAGGTACACATCCCAAGACATTCTCCAGGGAGGGATACAGCCACGTAAGCACAGTCATACTGAAGCATGAAAGGAATGAGAAAGAAATTGAGGTCCTTTTCTACCCTTCCCACTTTTGATGTCCTGGTGACTCTTTTCATCAGGCAAGGTCAGCTGGAAACCAGACACCAGAGATGGTCTATTGACCAGGTCCATAAGAGTTCAACTCTAGGTGGACAATGTAGGGCACAGAAGAGAAGACAATAGAAGTGAATGGGAGTAGGGTGGAAAAGGAGAATCACCAACACACCTATATTATCTATAAATCCATAATATTCCACAGTTATGCATTACTGTCCCTATCAAAAAGATAGCGGTACAGAAGTCAAAATCAATATATCATTAGTTCAAGTTCAACAAAAGTTAGCTGACTTTCCTATGGTGTTCCAGACTCTAAAGCCATCTCCACATACCATCCACTATACTTGCTGTAAGCGAGGGAACTTAATATTTCCCAAAGTCAAGACATATCAAGTCATTTGGGTATAAAGCAAAATAAATAATGAATCCTATTCCTACATCACTTTGGGGGATGCGATTCCCTGAAGACAGTGGGGAGTTGGCAAAACTCATGTGCTCGATGAGCTTAGCATTTTCAAAAGAATAGAAATATTGTTGTTGCTTGTAATTTGAATGACTTTTTGCTAGAAATAATTGAACTGCAGGGATTTGGTCTCCACACATTAATTCCATTATAAACTCTACAGGTTCTCAATACCCATCCTGTCATTGTGAAGTCACTCTTCTTTCTCAGGTAGGATTAGATATATTTTTTGAAAGTTTAAAATCTAGCAGTAAATATTTTAATTGATAGAAATACATTGAGCGGAAACATATTCTGATGAATTAGAAAATGTTTTTATTAAAGTGTTGCTATTCTTCTTAGAGTACTGGTGTTTACAGAGTGTTTGCATAATGAAATGAAAAAAAGAAAACCTAATTTCATCAATAATTACTGACTGCCTCTAATTTGAGAAGCACGATCTAGGTGTTGCTGAGTCTATAACTAGATCAGATAAAATCCTTGACCCTAAAGGAGCTCATGCTTTGATGTTGAGTTTTGTTCTAGGCTAGACCTGGATCATTCACCAAATAATACTAGCAGCCACAATTTGTTAAGTGTGAACAACATGACACATATATTTTAAAAACATTTACTGAATTAACTTTCTTATCTAGATAGAGTGACTGTTATTAATCAAATTCTATGGATGAGAAAACTGAGGCAGATAGAAATTAGTAACTTGCCCCAGGCCACACAGCTGGGAACTAAAGGAGCTGGGATTTCCACCCAGGAAGTGTGACAGCAAATTCCCAATAACTGTGCCACTCTGTTGGCTTTCAATAATAAACTATGCTTACTGCTTATTACTTCATTTAGAACAATAAAGTTGTGGTATTAAATTAATCCTTCTGATTCATTTTGTGTTAACAGTGTCTCCCTTTACTATTATAAGAGCCATATTATGTAATATTTGTAGCCGTTTCATAAAGAATGGACTACTTTTAGGTTTACAGCCTATGTTACCTAAAAATTTAAAAAAAAAAAAATTTGTGAAGGTGCCTTCTCTGGATTTCTTTTTCCACTCCAAATTGAAACAAGACCACTTGTCAAGGAGACACCACTCTTGTGAAAGCCAAAGACCAACCTTCTAGACTCCTTGTAGGACAGATTAGTAGAAGCAAGCATTCACAAGAGAGTGTCCCAGTGTAGGGCGCATGTCAGGAGAGCAAAGGCTCAGATGCTGCAAAGCCACTTCTGTCCAGTTGCAAAAGCTTCTCCCTAATATTTCCTTGCTCAAAGCAGTAGGATATTGTGTTCTTATTTTTTCAGAAGAAAGGCTACTTCCCTAAAATACACAGATTATTTGAACTATTTATTGCTTGCATTATTTCATTTCCCAATTGTACAAAACAAAAATGAAGGCTCATTAAAAAAAAAAAAAAAAACTCAGATGAATGGAGAAGTTATTTTGAAAGATGATTAATATTTCAATAAAAAAGCCTATTAAAAATGTAATTCAGCACCAAAAGAGTATTTGCCTATTTGGCAATTAAATATACCATCAAACAAGTGGATAAAGATTGTTTATCCACTTGTTTGAGGGATATATATATATATATATATATGCATCATATATATATGATGGATAAGTACTCAGCCATGAAAAAGAATGAATTAATGGCATATATATATGCATATATATATACTTATCCATCATATATATATGCATCATATATATATATGATGGATAAGTACTCAGCCATAAAAAAGAATGGATTAGTCGCATTCAAAGCAACCTGGATGGGATTGGAGACTAATATTCTAAGTGAAGTAATTCAGGAATAAAAAAACCAGACATAGTATGTTCTCACCCATAAGTGTAAGCTAAGCTGTGAGGATGCAAAGGCATAAGAATGACACAATGAACCTTGAAGACTCAAGAGGAAATGATGGGAGAGGGTGAGGTGTGAAAGGCTGCAAATATATACTGCTTGGTTGATGAGTGCACCAAAATCTCATGAATCACCACTAAAGAACTTACTCATGTAACCAAGTATCACCTGATCTTCCAAAATCTATGGAAATAAAAAAATAAATATAAAAACAAAAAGAAATTCAGTTGGACCCAATGATCTTTAAGAAAAACAAGATAATTATGATTCTATTAATTTAGATGACTTAACTTACATCTTATTACCCTAGGAAGAAGCCCAATGTCTTCATGTATAGAATGAGATAATACAGTGGACAAGTTTTGAACATTGAATTTACAGAGTGCTTTATGAAGTGACCTGTTTCCAGTGAAGGCATGGTAGTTATTAAAAAAGAGTCAGTATAACATTTTCAAATCTGGATATGTGTCATAGAAGAAATATGTCCATTGTTCAGTCATGATCTTCATGGTCACTTTTATCCTGCCCAAATGTTGAGAGTTGCAGGTCAAGGTATTTTACGTATAGTCTCAGTTGTATGGTTAATATGATTATGATTTCACTATGATCTTTTACTTGTGTAACTGAATTTATGTTGAACTCGCGTGCTAATATTTTTCTTAATTTTTCAGGTGTTAGAATGAGGTAGAGTTAAAACAACGGTATTTTAGTTTAAAGATATATTTCTTCATCATTTTTTCCTTATTGCGCCCCTCCCCAGTGCTCTGTAATACACCATTATTTTCTTTATCTCCCTGTCAACATTTAATACCATCGATACATGTGCATGTGTGTATCTGTATACACATGCATATGTACATTGTTTGTGTGTTATGTGCATGTGTATTATACATACAAATATCTAATATTTACTTTCATTCCCCAGGAACCAATTTTTGCCGCCTTGGGCAAAAATATACGAAACAAATAATCTTAGCTTGGTCTTTAAAGTTAAAAAGATTTGTTGATAAGAAGAGGGCCCACCGCATGTTCTCACTCATAGGCGGGTGTTGAACAATGAGAACGCATGGATACATGAAGGGGAGCACTACACACTGGGGTCTGTTGGGGGGAAATGGGAGAGGGACGAAGGATGGGGAGATGGGGAGAGATAGCATGGGGAGAAATGCCAGATACAGGTGAAGGGGAGGAAGGCAGCAAATCACACTGCCATGTGTGTATCTATGCAACAATCTTGCATGTTCTTCACATGTACCCCAAAATCTAAAATGCAATAAAAAAAATAAATTAAAAAAAGAAGAGGGCCAGCTAAGGTAGAATAAAGTGAGGAAAATGGGCACACATTAGAGAGGGAAGATCTGGAAAATGTTCTCCAGTTCAGAGGGGCAGGCAAAGAGATTCTAGTTCTACAGGGATACATACAAGGCATCAGTTCTATTTCCTAAGCACATTCAGTTGTGATAAAACGAGAGGGTTTCAAGTGCTGATACTTTAGATCCCACACTCAAAGGTGAGATTTTTACCCAATGAGTAAGAATTTTTACCCAATGAGAAAGATTTTTACAGTTTCAAAGAAAAGCAATGTTTACAACCATGGGTTCAAGAAAAGTCTAAGTGAACACATATAATAAAGACTTGCAAAAATATAGAAAATTATGGCTCTTTAAATATTAAAAGACTTGCAGAAAGGACCACAGAAAACCATTTTAAATATTACTGCCTTTGTATTTAAGAAACTCTACATTAGTCTACATGTTTAAAGCATCAATTACATGCTCACTAGGCTATTTCTTAATACCACATATATTTACAGTTTTTAAATTTTCATTTATTTATTTTTTAAATGCATTTATTTATCTTGAGGTGCATACTATATCTGGCATTTCTCCCCATGTTATCCCTCCGCCCACCCTCCCCACCCCCCACTGTCTCTCCCCTGAGTACCCCCAACTGCCCCCAGTGTGTGATGCTCTTTTCCCTGAGTCCACATGTTCTCATTGTTCAACACCCACCTATGAATGGGAGCATGTGGTGTTTGGCTTTCTGTTCTTGTGTCAGTTTGCTGAGAATGATTTCCAGGTTCATTCAAGTCCCTACAAAGGACATGAACTCATTGTTTTTTACGGCTGCGTAGTATTCCATGGTGTATATGTACCACATTCTCTTTGTCCAGTCTATCATTGATGGGCATTTGGGTTGGTTCCAGGTCTTTGCTATTGTACACAGGGCTGCAATGAACATATGTGTGCATGTGTCTTTACAGTAGAACCATTTATAGTTCTTTGGGTATATGCCCAGTAATGGCATTGCTGGGTCAAATAGAATTTCTATTTCTAGATCCTTGAGAAATCGCCACACTGTCTTCAACAGTGGTTGAACTAATTTACACTCCCACCAACTGTGTAAGAGTGTTCCTATTTTGAGAGAAGAGGAAGAAATATCAGATGACATCATCAGGTTAATGCATAGATTACAAACCTAAATGCATTTTAATTTCCTTTTCTTTAGGCCTCACCTGAAGCCAAAGACACGCAATGTTAAAGGAAAACTATACAGCTGTGACTGAGTTTGTTCTCCTGGGACTGACAGATCAGGCTGAGCTGCAGCCCCTTCTTTTTGTGGTATTCCTAGTCATCTACCTTATCACAGTAATTGGCAATGTGAGTATGATCTTCTTAATCAGAAGTGACTCGACACTCCACACTCCAATGTACTTCTTCCTCAGTCACCTCTCCTTTGTAGATCTCTGTTATACGACCAATGTCACTCCTCAGATGCTGGTTAACATTTTGTCTAAGAGAAAAACCATTTCCTTCATTGGTTGCTTTATCCAATTTCACTTTTTCATTGCACTGGTGATCACAGATTATTATATGCTCGCAGTGATGGCTTATGACCGCTACATGGCCATCTGCAAGCCCTTGTTATATGGAAGCAAAATGTCCAGGTGTGTTTGCCTCTGTCTTGCTGCTGCTCCTTATATTTATGGCTTTGCGAATGGTCTGGCACAGACCATCCTGATGCTTCGTCTGTCCTTCTGTGGACCCAATGAGATCAACCACTTTTACTGTGCAGACTCACCCCTCTTAGTCCTCGCCTGCTCAGATACTTATGTCAAAGAGACTGCCATGTTCGTGGTGGCTGGTTCCAACCTCATCTGCTCTCTCATCATCATCCTCATTTCCTACACTTTCACCTTCACAGCCATTCTGCACATCCGCACTGCTGAGGGGAGACGCAAGGCTTTCTCCACCTGCGGGTCCCACGTGACCGCTGTCACTATCTTTTATGGGACACTGTTCTGTATGCACCTGAGGCCCCCTTCTGAGACATCTGTCCAACAGGGGAAAACTTTAGCTGTGTTTTATATTTTTGTGAGTCCTATGTTAAACCCATTGATCTACAGCCTGAGGAATAAAGATGTTAAAAGAAGTATAAGGAAAGTTATCCGAAAAAACCTGTTTGCTAAGTAAGGTAGATATTTTGATCATAGGTCTTGGGATTTGTTCTTGTTATCTGACCAATTGATGAGCATTTTAGGTTAACAAATCACTGTGTCATTGGGTGTTTTTTGTCTTTGTACTTTGCATATGGGTCTTCAAAGTATATGTCAAATTATTAGCTAAAGCTTACAGTGCCATCCTCAGTAAACTGAAAACGAATGCATAGAAATTCAAATATAAGCCTAGAAGGCATTGTTCTAGCTTTATAAATATAAGTAAAGTACAGGCAATTCCATTATTAGTGCTCTTACTAGTAAAATGTCATAAAAGACAGAATTATCGATTGCTATGAAAATGATAGCTCATTACATTTTATAGTGCTTAATAAGCCTCCAGACTATTTTCCAGAAACTTGACAACCATACTGGATGAGGTTTTCTGTTTTTGTTTTATACATATTATATACAAAAGAGTATCACTTAGGTATATCTTGGATAACTACTTTAAGTTATATCCTTAGAATGATATCACAGATTCAATGAAATCCTCTTTCATAAAGCTTTTCATGGAAATGCCAACTTTCCTTTGGAAGGGGTTTTTAATTGTTTGTGTGTTGTGCCAGTAAACACATCAACACGTGACCTCACTTTTTCACTATTACTATTGCCTGTTTCCTTTAAATAAATGAATTGAATGTTTTTTCAATGAGTGCATATGGATATTTGTGTTTTATGCATGTATTCGTGTGTGTGTGCACATAATTGATTACAATATACCATTTTCTTTTCTTAATTGCTTATTCAAATTGTCAAGGTCATATGCTTCACCTATTTTTAAATTGTGGTGTTTATATTTTTTCTTATTTGTTTTAGACATTTCTTAATTATATAACGTGTTTTTTGTTATATATACATCTGTAACAATTATATATATACACACATGAATTCTATTTTATCTTTTCTATCATATCTCTTGAAATGTTAATATTTTATTATTTTAAATACTGTCAAATTAAAAAAAAATTTCACTTTATTGTTCCTTTTTTACTTTTAGGGAGTTAAGCTCTTTGCCACCTATGATCCCATGGATTTTTACATATATTATTAAATTGGTTTCATTTGTTAATTTTTTCTTTGGAACTGTTTTTAATATACAGCCAAAATAGAAAATACTATAAAGACTCCTTTTTAAGCATAATTAATCACTAATAAAATTTCACAGAATGCCACCTTTGTTTCAGTTATTTTAGAAATTTGAAAATTATTAAGCTGAATCTTTCCCGACTGATTCTCTCTTGTTCCATTTCTTACTGTAAACTCTATTATGAATTTAATGTTTCTCCTCCTTCTGTAGAGTTACATCATTGAATAGGTGTTTACATTTTCATGAAATATGTAGTACTGATATGCTAGATTTAAAACTTGAAATAAATGCACCCACTCTATTTATCTTTCTGTAATGTATTTTATCTTTTATTAAATATTATTAGGTGTATCTGTGATGACTTATGCAGCAGCAATTTTTAGTGGTATAGTCTACACCAATATACAAATATCCCTCAATATGTGCATTTGTTCTACTATTTTTTCTTTTTGAGATGGAGTCTCACTCTTGTTGCCCAGGCTCAAGCACAATGGTGCGATCTCGGCTCACTGCAACCTTCACCTCCTGGGTTCAAGCGATTCTCCTTTCTCAGCCTCCTGGGTAGCTGGGATTACAGGCATATGCCACCACGCCCAGCTAATTTTTTATTTTTAGTGGAGACAGGGTTTCTCCATATTGGTCAGACTGGTTAACTCCTGACCTCATGTGATAAGAAGGAGTTATTAACTAGGAGTTTGTTAATGATAGTTTATTTCTATTCAGATGTCAAAAAGAATGTTAAAACTTGTGTTTCTGTTATTAGTAGTTAGATTAGATGCTCTCCCATGTGCAATTTCTATGTTCCTTTTTTCAAACATAATTACAACACTGCTTATTATAATGCAAAGAATTCTGTTGGTAGAAAAATACCAGTGTGTCCAGATATTTTAGCACTGATTTGCTATGCTAATATTGCTGTATATTGAAAGTGCATGGTGAGAACTTGATTTATGCATAGTCATTATCCCCATAATTTGCAGTATTAGATCACTACATTAATTTATTTTGCTGGCTGACTGCCTATTTGTTCCAATATTATTTTTTAAAATAATCAGAAACTTCTTAGTAGTATATAATAGTTACACAAGTTGGACTAAATTAGCAGTCTGACCATCCTTATGGGGATCAGAACAAAGTCAGATCATAAGACATGACAGAAAACATTTGGTTTTGAGACTAAAACTTTAAATATGTAACTTTTTCCTTTTCTTTTCTGAGACTTCTTAGGTTTGAAGGCTTCATGTGTTTTCTCTTTCCTGTGTCTGTAATACTACCTTTAAACATCACCTTTACTTACCATGCTTATCATTCAGTGCACCTGCTTTTCAAGGAAAATGTAATTTGTGTGTTGGAAAGGAATTAGAAAAGTCACTGGTCTCATCAGCCCGTATGGATACTATCTGGATTCTTATCTCCATAGACACAGCCAATAACCATTTGCCTTGACCACACCCTGTTGACTACTTAAAACTCTTCATTTAACATCTAAGTTTCTCTTCTTCTCTCCTTCTTCTTCTTATCCTTTTTTGCTTCTTTTAATCAGGTTTTCTTCATACTGGGAACAAAAAGAGAGAAGAGATAAGAGAAGAACAAGTGGCTTTCTGGACTCTCAACTTGAATTAATTGTTAAAAAAAAAAATCTAGGGGAAAATGGGTTTGAGGAATGCCTTGGATTTCAATGCTTAAGCTTTTGACTGGTTGTAATCCTGGGCATGGAAAGAGCTGTGATAACACTGTGGCCCTGTTTTCTATTTGGTTTAATTTTAAATGACTCTCTGGAAGCTAAACATCCAGCAAGTAATTTGATTTGCTTAATTCTAAGGAAAGAACAAATTTACTTTGTGTTAAATTTATGGGGGTAAATTCACTTACATTAAAATGTAGAAATTTAAGTGTGCAGTTCAATAAAGTTTGACAAGTGTGTACATCCAATTTTTAAGGTTACTGTGCAGCTGGGAGGTGAGTGTGAGAATCGGGCAGTAAAGACGCCACCAGGCTCACTGTTCTTGCCAAAATTCAGGAATTTTTTTCTTGAATAAATACTCATAGAATTGTTGTAAGCTTTTGATTACTTGCTAGTGTCCAGAAGCAGTTCATTTGGACTGATTTTAGTGTTCTTATGGTTTTTATGGAGGGGCACCTTTAGGAGGATCATTACTCTGTCATTCAGAAAGTGATTCTTAGATAGATAGATAGATAGATAGATCATAGATTTATCAAGATTTTATCAGCAGTTAGTTCATTTTAATTGCTGAGAGTAGTATCCCATTACAGAGATATACCATAATTTGTTCAGCTATACATTTGCTGACACATGTTTGAGACTCTTTGTGGATATGTCTTCTTTTCCACTGGATAAACACTGAAGAGCAAAATTGCTGTGTCACAGTTTTATGACAAATTATAAATTTATACAAAATTTTATGAAGAACCACCAGTTTTTCACAGTCATTGAATTATTTTACATTCTATCTTGTTATGTATTGTAAGAGTTTCAGCTGTTTCCATTGTCATTGTTAATCTTTGTATTGTCAATATTTTTTATTCTTGCCATTGAAGCAGCTGTGAGTTGAAGTGTTACAAAGATAAACAAAGCCAGCTACCAGTTAAAGTAGTAAGGACAGATTTTAGTCAGTAATGTACCATTTCAATGGACAGAAAGTTTCACTATAAACTGAACTCTAATTTGGTTTGCACAAAGGTAACTGTATTCTAAAGGTAGAATGAGCGAATAGGAAGGAGCATGAGCAGGGCTCAAGAAAGTCAGAGAAATAAAAAAATTACAAAAAGTGTGAAAGGAATGTTGGTCCATGTGAAATCCATCTAGGTTTGCCAGCTGGCTCCTACCCTCCCTTGGGAGCTGGTAGACAAGAGCTCTTTCTTCAGAGGTTGACAGAAGCAGACAGTACATTTTGTTGGCAGCCTTGAGTTTTCTAAGGCAGATACTTCAAGTGGCACTAAAGTCATCCTAGGGATGTGGCCTTGAGCTGTTAGCCACTGTGTTCACATTTTATTCAAGTCTTTTTAGGCCAAGGTTGAGGCCTAGTGAAGAAAGTGCTCAGAGGATTCTTTCTAGAGTTTTGTCCAGGAGGAAATCTTTGTTCATGGTGTTTAATTATAGGCAAAATATACATTTTCTTGACAAATATAGATGTTGAATTTCTTTTCATGTGGTCATTTTCTGTTCATGTGTCTTCTTTTATGAAGTGTCTGCTCACAACTTAAACTTTCTTTTTTCTTAACTGTGCTGCTTATATTTGGATCAGTGAATTGTAGGGGATGTTTATATGTTCTGAGTACTGGTCATTTGCCAGAATTAGTTACTGCAAATGGTCTTCCTACTGTATGGTTTGCCTTTTCATTACCTTAGCATTATTTTGAAGAATGCATGTTTTAAAATTTGATGACACACACACACTATATATATATATATTTTCTTCACAATTTGTGCTTTTCTTTCCTTCCTAAGAAATCTTTGCTTTTCTTAAGAACGTAAAGATACTCTTCCATTTTCTTTTCCTGGAGGATTTGTAGATTTAGGATTTACATTTAGCAGTATTATTTCCACCAAATTAATTTTGAGTATTGGCATGTGGTGTGTTATAGGAGTTTAAGTTAAATATTTTGATGAAAACATACACATTTTTCAGTAGCAATCTCCGTTAACATGCCTTTGTACATTTGTTTAAAAATCCATTCACTACATATACTAGTGGATCTATTTCTGGACTCTCAGTTTTGTACCATTAATCTCTTTATCATCCTTAGATCCACATATTGCTATGGATGCTATACTTCTTAGTAACTCTTAAGTGCATAGTCTTAACTTAAGGGATAACTTTTCACATACTTTATTTTTTCAACAAAACCTTCAGAAACCTCTGTTTGACTTATTTGAAGACATTAAATGTTTAGTTAACAACATTTTACTTCAATTACCATGATCAATTGATTGATAGCTGCTAGAAGTGCACCTAATGAATTAGTTATGTAACTACTACAATGTTCAGATCATGGGACAAATCCTACTGGCCATGCACATTTAGGTAGTGCAAATTATTGAACAATATTTGTTCACTTTCAAAAGGGGTTTTCATTTTTTTTATAACGGGATTTATTTTAGAATCAGATCATCAAGTTTTACAAATATCAGCCTGCTGAAATTTGATAGAAGTGCCATTAAAATTATTGATAGATTTATGAAGAATTAACCAGTTTACCATATTGAACATCCCAATGCACAAGTGAGATGTCTGTCTTTATTATTTTGGTCTTCTTTAATTTTTCTCTGCAAATATTTGTGCTTTTCAGTGTATCTTTTGAACACTTTTTATTGTATTGGTTTCTGAGTAGCTTATGCTTTTATGTTATTAGTGATATTTTGATTTTTATATTCCACTTGTGTATTGCTATTTCGTAACTGTATGAGTGGGGATTTGTTGTGTTGTTGTTTTTGTTGTTGTTGAGACAACACTATAGTCTGTCACCCAGACTAGAGTGAAGTGGTGGGATCTTGGCTCACTGCAATGTCTGCCTCCCTGGTTCAAGGTGTTCTCCTACCTCAGCCTCCCATGTAGCTGGGGCTGCAGACTGTGCCACCACACC